ATTCTGTTTATTTTCTGTCGTGCTTTACATTTAATTCAATCTTTTTTCGAATATCAACCAAATATTTGAAAAAAACACCGTTATTATATAAACATATCTCTACACTGTAATTTTGTAATTACATTAAAAAATTTTAATTATGCAAGTGACAACATCAATTAATTTATTATTAAATATTAATAATTACCAATATTTAATACAAACAGAATCTCATATTCAAGTCTTTTCACATACGTTAATCAACATTTCATAAAATCTTAATAGATAAAAGCTGAAAAAAAAATTACTCTTACAGTTTTTGGTAATACTTAACAAATACCCCATTTATATTAACCCTTATATAGGGGTGATATAGACTTCCACAATTTTTCTCGTTCACAATTCATTTTATAATTAGTTACACAACGCCACTTACTACTTATTATGACATTTATTACTTACGCCAATTGTATTACATAATTTAATAGTTTATTAAAAAAATATTTTCTTTTCTTACATACATTCCGCAATTAATTTTTATAATTACAGAACAGCCAACCACCAGAGTCTTTAAACCACAAGATCAAAAGTTTCTTTGTCTTATTTAATTTAGGTATGCATAAGTATACAAATAATTTTAAACCATTTAAAAATAGACCCACATTTAGAAACCTTATATTTTATCCTATATCTGTACTCATTTATTTCCATTTTCCTGCCATAATATCTGAATTATAATGCAAAAAGACACAATCCTTTCTCCATGAATGCTTTAAATCAGTTATTATCATCTTCTGATATACATTTATTTATATTAATATTCAATAATATATTCTATATATTCGAGTACTTCACAAATATATAATACAATTTGAATTTACGTCATTTAAAATGTGTACTTTAAAAAATCCTACAAATGACCTAATAAAACTCAATGGATTCACCTGGGATCTTGCGTTTGTGACGTAGGTCGCAATATATGACAATAGTCTATTTTCATTATTGTGACACATTGCCTTATGTTGTACATATTCATTATAAAATCATGACATTTTGTGCAATTTACTGTAGGGAGAGCCATCCCAAATACTCTCATTCAGTCAATATATATATCCAAACATTCTGTATGTACACAAATATTAACTTATTTCAAAAACTTTATTCATTCATAACACTAATTCATTGATGTTTAGAAAATTCAACAGGTTTCTTGTACAATCAATAATACAATCAAGAGACATTCATTTCTGGCTTTCAAAAGCTTTTCTTTAGGTTAAAAGACAACTTCATAAATTATAAAACTAAACTAAAGCAGGTCTTTTGTACAATCAAGCAACATCCATTTCTGGTTTCCAAAAGCCTTTCTTTTTCACATAGTTTACAAAACTGAACCATGTAAGAATTACCTGTAATCTATCACTTTCTAACATGTCTTGAAGCAACATCTTATGTGTTCAATGACAAATGATAGCAACTCAAATGTACGCTCAACAAATTGGGACGTATTATGAACCAATTGTCAAAATATTATTAGAATCATATAATATATAATTCCAGCTATTCATATAATAAACGACAACACATTAATAATCAATATCATATGATTATGATAACCTCGAGGATCCTAATAGATCTCAATTGGATTTTATACTAATTAATAATTAAATAAGGAACTATTAATAATAATAGCACACACTTTACAATTTCCGATGCTATATATATATACATATATAGATATACATTTATAAAATTCAAAACACAGCAAGAAATAAATATAATAATTGTACTATCAGAGTTAAGTACTATTTTCACTGAGGCTTCACAGCTAACAAACGTTTGTATATCATGTTATGTATTGTATGTTTGTCAACAATATCTGTGTCTATCTATATTAATATGCTTTATTAATTCATTAATAAACACATATCAAAGTATCAACAATATAATATATATATTATCTTTTGGGAATATATAGACATATATGGACTATGCCTGTGATTGTCATTTATCTGAAAATCATCAAGCATATATATGTACCTATGTAAAGAAATAATAACAATTCTATTCAATTCACGTAGAACAAACACACAAAACTGAACAGTAAGTTTGACTAATTTACTGTGAATTAGCAACAAACTCAGCAATACCATTAACTGTTTATATGTATAACATGGTATGTGTTCTCATGATGTATGTCAACATAGTTGATGTAACTGTTTCTAATCTGTTGATATTATTATTATTATAATAACATACAAAATATTTTAAACTAATTAGATATCCATGTTGTTTTATACTTAATGTATTCATAATACTTCTTTCTTAGGTATATTGTATACCTCAATATCGTATATGTCATTACTCTCGCAAGTTATCGTACATACTAAATCTATTTAATATGTAGAAAGCAATTCATCCAAAAGTTCAATAAAACAAGTGAGATACTGCGTTTAATGGTATGCGTGTTATTAACGTAAATTCACTTATCACAACTTCTAGTCAGAATTACCTTACGGTAGAATTTGTAGGCGGGATTGGTACCGCTTCTGAACTTTTAAAATCACTAGTATCCTGACGACTTAGGCGTAATGCCGGTTAGTCAGGGAGAGAAACACCTCAATGCCTACAATATTCACAATTACCTATTTCTAATTTGTTTTTATATCAATATAAACACTTTCGCTCCAAAACTCCCGCTTTTGTTCAATCATCCGTCATCCACTTGTCAATGTAGCGGTCTGGACGTTCCGTTTCAGGTTACATGACTTTACCATTTTTAATTAATGGTGCGTCACACGATAGTTAACAATTGTATGTGCGGTTGGACGCGGTTTCTTAACCGATTTCAGTTCAGTTTCACTAACTTATTGTGGTAAGCATCAATCAAATCAAAAGCAATCAATCAAAATGTATTATTATTATAGTTTCATTTCGATCTGTTTATAAACAAATTATATTGCATACGTAGTTCTTATAATCAAAATAACTAAGCAAGATTGTGAAAGCAAACGAAAACCTTTTACTAAGCTGCCAGATCGAAATGGTCATTATAGAATAGAAACTTCACTGTAGACTACACATGGTTATAAAATCTTTGGCGATATGGTCGGAACTTGGAATGAAACCATTTCAAGTTTTAACCAAATGCACTGAATTCTGTAAGTGTTCTAAAAACCCTTCCAGCTTTACAGTTTTTATTACAAATTACGAATATTCCGCTCTTGGACACATATTTCCCGCTCCTTTATTTAAATATATATCTAAATTAGTCAATACAGTATCAATAATTTGTTCCTCATACACGGTGAATAGCTCTGCGTCCCAGATACTAATTCACTTATAATCACAAAAGGTTATGATGAGTCATGTTTTTTATGTATTTTGTTAACCCATGCGTCATCAAACTATAGTTACTGTATATTGTGATTTATTAGGTACCTCGCTTCGACAAAGATCCGCTCACAATGAAATAATTTCTTAATTAGTGGCGGAGTCTGTAAAGACTAAGAAGCTAAGGCTGAGGAACATACATGTATAACCATTGCTGATCCTCTACAGACTATCAATCAAACCAATAAGGAAATTCAAGAAGTAGCGTCAGCCAGTACAAAGTCACTTGAAGAAAAGGTAGCGGGAAATACCCTAGTCAGAAATTATAATAGTAATTGTTCAAGATTTAAAATTAGAGTCTGCTTTAATACATGTAGGCAGTTAAAAATAGTAAAACCTAGCAATTTAAAAATACGAAAGATTCGATTTTACAATGTCAACTTTGTAAACGGTATAACAACGTACATTAAAATAAATCATCAAAATATTTGAAAGAACAAGGGCAACACGTGACATACAAAATAGAAACAGTTTAATTCAAAAGTTTTCGCAGTCATTTAAAAACAGGAACGGCCTGCTGACGAAAATATAGACAATACAGACAGGTAATTGTCACGTTATCGGACACGTAATAACTTTGCATGTCTAGGTATTATTGTTCACAGATACATACAGTAATTGCAATGTTTTCGTACAAATAAGAACAATTTACTTTATCAGTAAGATAATTTTAATATAAGAAGTAAACACAACATTAACATTACACTTAACATTGAGATTATTTAACTACTGGTATACTCTAGAAATATTTGGTCCTGTTTTACGCAGTAGTAACTACTACTAAAATGGAATAAGTTATTAGACATCCCGTCTAGGCTAGAAAACACTTTTTATGCTCTTGAATACCTAGTGTATTCAAGAGCATAAAAAGTACTACTAATTCAATATTATTATTAAAGAAATGTCCAGCATTGTTGTCAATTTATTCGGCTTACTTTTAATTTAGTTTCAAATGAGTACTTTATATTGGATTGCATTATATATTACCATTATACTCCAGAGTAGATCTGGAGTATAATGGTAATATATAATGATCCTTATTGGAATCCTATTTCCATTCTTATCATCGTTATCCTGTCATCTTCTTACTCAGTCCTCTATTCTCTTTATTTTTCCCATGTGCCTATTTAATCTATTGCATCCTCCTCCTTTAATTAAGGGTCACCAATGGTTTTCCATTGGCCAATCCCCCAATCTCCCAATTAAGAATTGATCCGTAATTTTCACTACGGAATTAATGAGTAACTGCGACCAAAAACTTTAACCGATTTTTAAATGGGAATGCTACATTATCAGAGAGTACTGTACGCTGTATTTTATATAAAAGACATAGATATCCCTACAATAATTACACCCATGAAAACTGAGTCACGTCACTAGCGTATAGTAATTGTTAAATAATAATAGACTCTTGGTTACATTCTGAATCCGTATTATGGATAAGTTAAGGTCTGACAAAGCTTGGGTTTTAACTGCATTGTCCGCCTTAAACTTAGTTCTCTTAACTTTTTCACAGAGGAAAATAAACGTTAAACATTTTAAACACGGTGCACATTCTAGTAAATCAACTACACCTACTAGAGTTTACATCTTATTTCCTTCATCATCATTAGTCTCTACGCAACCTTCGCGAGAAGTGCACGTCGCTCGCTGTTTAACCAGGTTCAGTTAACTTTTCCGTGTCAATAAACTTGGAAGCTCGTGAGTGAGTGAGACGCAGATACAGTGTTTGCTATTTGAAAGGGATCGTGCATTTTTCATCCTGGATACCGACCCGTTTGATGGTACGAAATAGTTTCCTATTATAGTTTATGATCCCTATATTTTACAAACAGTTCTTGAAACATTGAAGGCCCAGTTTTTGTGGCGGAGGAAAAAATGTTTGAGTTATAAAAATTCTTTGGCCAAGCGTGACGATCAAGTTTTTGCATGGTTTAAATTATAGTTGCTTAGTCATATCTGTTCTTATTCTTTTAATCTTCAATGAAATGTATTTCTTTGTTTCCGTCGAAACGAAGTTTTTATGAATGAAAGACTGAGTTATTACTGGTATTTACAGGTTATAAATTATTCGAAGGTATCATTCATCATTCTGGTATGGATTGGTCCTCAGTATTTGATATACTGTTAGCATTTTGATGATATGGACACACGATATGAATTATAATGAATTTTACTTTTTATGTTTTGGAATCACTATACAACACTATAGGTCCTTGAACTCCGACATAACGTTATGAACTTTAATTTATTTATGTTTAGAATTTAAATTTCGTGTCAATATATTATTGTGCTTAATATTAAAGTTAACTTTGATAATTATAATCAAACAGATACATGAAAAGTGCTAAGATTCGATTTTTTTCTAGTTGATGTAACATTGTAGGTTTGTTTTATATATACTACAGCTATATATAGATTTAAATCATTGTAGATAAATTATTTCTAATGATATAGAGATACTTTATATTCATGTAAATATATATATTAATTCGATTTTGTTTATATTTAACTTTTATGCAAGTTACGAATACTTTTAAGATAGTCATGAATCAATAAATGCGTTTTTAGACATTAGGTCATCTGATTCGGTCGTCCTCGTACCCTTATTATGCGGATATTGTTTTTTATTTTACGTTTGTAAAGCTATTGGAATAAAACAAAGTTATTATAGTATATAATATGTGTAACATAATATATATTTTGATTAAAATCTTTGGACCAAAACATTGGAATTCTATAATATATTAAATCGATAATCGCGTCATATTCTACAGTCTTATGACAATAATAATACTGTTAAATGGAAATATACATATTTAATGCAATCTCTGATAGAAGTGGTACATTACCTCAGTCTAAGAAAAACAGTGACAAACCACGTGTTCACATATATAGTACCATTAATACTATATTCAAATATATTGTATATAATAGAAAAAATATAACCATCTAAATAAAGTTGAAGTGTCTTTTTGCAATTTTAAAGTGTGGGATGCATTTAATTGTAATGCAAGTTGCATTACAATTAAATGCATCCCACACTTCACATTTGTGAGTAATATTGTTTAGTGATTTTGCGATGCAATAAATAAATAAATATCCATGAACAATTAACATAGTGTCATGTCGTTCCACGGTAAGCAGAGCTTGTGTTATGGGTACTAGACAACTGATACAAATACTTAGATTATTGTAAATACATACTAAATAAAAACAATTATACTTATGAATACAAATACACAGCGCGAGGAACCGAACCCGCGATCATCGGTAGTTTGTGTAGTAGTAGTAGTAGTAGTGTGTAGTCAAGCGGTGTGCTAAACCGTTAGACCACCGAGGCTGTCAACAATGTATATGAAAGAGAAAAACATATAACGCCTTCCCCAAATGAATGGTATATGGAATGAATATAATCATATAATTATGTAGATGATGTAGTGCTTCCATAACTATGTCAAAGGTAAAACTGTTCACACGGTGGAAGTCGGTACAAACCGCTAGTTAACTATTCTTGCACAATTTTATTGCCTTATATACAGAAGGATTGTATTTCCTTGTTACATTGGTAATAAATTTTGCATATTAATTAAAGAAAATTCTGTTTTTCTCGTTACTTTATCAATGGTCGTAAATTGAGAATTGTGTAAAATATTTACGTTGTAATATTTCAAAGTATGACGTCGGAACATTTAGTTTCGGTTTTATTAAATAAACCGTATCTATATTATGTAACTAGCTGTACTCGCGTCTTCGTCCGCGTGGAATTTAACTTTAATTTTCTAAAATAAAAGTAGCCTAAGTTACTCCTTATTACATCAGCTATCTGCCAATAAAAGTCCCGTCAAAATCGGTCCTTCAAAACTTATTATATATTTTAGATCCCATACATAACATACTGTCATGCATAAGCTTTGTCGTAGATTTTTTAATACATAATTTATCAATGTCACGTCGATTGCGGTTTACGATTTCAGAAAGTCGTGGGAATAAGTGCTTGTTTATTTTAACAATACGCATACTTTATATAATTCGATAGGTAATTAATAAAAACAAATGTTTAGAATATACATACATCGTAATTATGTAAACAAAATGCAGATTATGTTGTTATTGTTACTATTAAGTAAATAAATCTTCACTTCACCTCTATAATGATGGTGACCCGGTATTGAGTTTATCAACGATGCAAGATATCACAATTTACCGAGATACCTATACTTTGTACAAAGTTATATGCATGGGTAATATCAGTCCCACCTATTTCATACGCTATGAAGATTGCTTCATGTATCATTTTGGCTTAGAACAGTGAAATACGGTCATCTATACATATAAATTAGAGTGTCTGTTTGTAATATTGAAATAACCTTATTTTACTACATGCATATGAATATAAATGCGGTAAATACACGAAATTAACGTTTTTTACAATTTTTGTCTGTTTGTTTGTTCCGGCTAATCTCTGAAATGGCTGGACCGATTTTGACGTGACTTTTATTGGCATATAGCTGATGTTATAAGGAGTAACTTAGGCTACTTTTATTTTAGAAAAACAAAGTTGAATTTCACGCGGACGAAATCGCGGTTACAGCTAGTTACATATATTTATATGTATGAAAGCATCCGCAGAATATCAGCGTCGTGGCACCCCGTCACGGCATATGCTGAGCAGAGACCTGTGTGGTACCTATATAATCCAAATTGTAATTAAACATTACGTTTGTCATTTTATATGTATCAAATAAACATATTTTCTTTCTTTCTTTCACATAATATGCACCTATAATGATTTAATATGAAGTTGCATGAAAAAAAAATTATCTAACCATTAGCTTGAACTCCGAATGTTGAAGTCCATTACCATGTAATAGTTGTACGTAACATTCTATGTAGGTTAATATGTACATACGAGTATACTGTATTTAGAGATACATTGTTAGATTTCTCAATATCAAAACTTTACAATAACAACGCACTAACTTACTAATGTTTGACACAGTTCTTTGTTTTTGTTTCTGTAATATCATCATTATTGCTTTGCCTTTATCCTATTATTCGTGTCTGCGCAGTATGTCCTCTTCTTCTACTGATCCCTCTCAGTCATACTCTCCTTGTAGTCTCCTTGAGTAAAGATGATATGTAGAAACATATCATCTTTACTCAATCCATCCATCTTTTTGATCGTCCTCTCCCTTTCCATGCATCTACATTCATGTTGAACATTTTCTTTAAAACGTAGTCCTCGCTCCTCCGCATAACATGTCTATTTTTTTGTTTCTGTAATCTATTCTATCATTAGTAAAGGTAAAGTTTGTGAGGTTGTAAGGAGTAATCTCTAGTGAGGCAATTTTGACGATTCTTTTGGTGTTGGATAGTCCGATTATAGAGAAGGGCTTTATAATGAAGACCAGCTGTAAATTTGCTCTTATCATCATATCTATGGTCATCATGATTTTTTTTCGAACAGTCGGTTCAGATTTCTGTTTTATTATATGCAAACATAATAATAACAAGATAAACTTCTGTTTACGTTTCCTTCGCTCACCTTTGAAACGATTTTAATAATTTTTGTTTTTTATTTGTGTCAATTTTGTCAAGACTGTAATGCCTCGGTGTTTTTTCATTTCACTGAATCTGAAATAGGTATTGTCGTCTCTCAGCTTCGTATCTGTAATGATAAAATTGACGTCATAGCAAATATACACAATTATTACCTTTGTTCGCTGTCATTGGCCTCTGTGCAATCAACAAGTAGGAGAAAAAATATGTGTGTATATTTTCTTATATTTGTTTGCTTGTTCATATAAATTACTTAGTTTATACTTGTATATTTATTTAAACGACCTATTGTACACATTCGACCATAATTAATCTAAATGTTAAGTTTGAACATTGTTTAGGTTCTATTGTTAAAGACTAAGAGTCGATATTCGAGTCTTGGAATTTTTATGCAGAATTTTAAAAAATATTGATTTTTTTTCTGTACTCCTTCTCTATATAAACTGAGCGTGCGAAATTTTCTTACTGTTCCGTCCGCGCATTTTCTTAAAAAGGGATACAAATTTTAGCCTCACGTGTATTAGTACGTATATTATTGTATTATTAGTATTATTACAGCCTCATATGTAGATATTCGATTGGCGAAATAAAACTTAGTATGAATTACAGACTTAATGGTAGCTTTCTCTACCTGTCAACCTTTGTAAATAATGGTCATTTACAATACTTAATTAAATAATTTAATATTATTCATATTGTTTATTCACAAATTTAACAAATCTCTTTACACAATAGCACGTCAATAGTAATTATATTTTTAAGATAATTATGTCACAATTACAATTTTAAATATTCAAAATAATAAATTAAATAATATATAACATACTAATAAAACTCACTTAATGGAAAATGTCATAATTTTACATTGAAATTCAGATATTCTGTCACATTGTAAAAAGGATGTTTCTCGAAATATGATTTTATTTTGTTCTTAAATTCTGTTGATGTCAATTCCATTGTTTTATTTGATATATATAATAAATAAAGATAACTACTAAATAAACACTCAATTGATACAACATATTATAATGTTTACCGATAAATTAGATGGATTTGTATAAAAAAAATTGTTTATACATGTAAACAACATACTAATTACTACATATGTAAATAACTTAATGCAGTGTATTCAACAAGTAGGCAAACAGATAAATTATTTCTCAGTTTGCAATAAATCCACAGTGGATATTAGAAATTAACGAGAAGTTTCGTCCGCCGCAAC